TCTACGAGACGATGAGTGCCAATTCGTCTCAGAAAAGTATCAGAGGGAAGAGGTCCTCAGTGAATGAGGTCGGATCGGAAAACAACGTCATGGCCCAGCAGTTAGCCGAGCTCACGGAGCGGATGCGGCTACTAAACGCAAGAGGAGCTTCACCGGTTCAGACTATGGCTGTGAATGTGTGCGGAGCCTGTGGAATCCAGGGGCACAACTCTGAGGTGTGCCCGTCGGCTATCGAGCTAAATTACGGAGGGCAGAATGTTGAGGTTAACGCATTGCAGGGGTATCAGAACCGGCCCGGAAACGACCCCTACTCGAACACGTACAACCCCGGGTGGAGAAACCACCCAAGCTTCTCCTGGTCTAACAACAACTCCCAGCAGCCGCCGCAACCTAACTTTGTTCCCCATCAGCAGCAACACAGGGGACAAATGTTAAGGTTGCCAGCACCAGAAGCCGGACCGAGCCCGACAAACTCAGATGAGAAGCTGGATAAGATCCTCCAATTTTTGGCCGACAACAAGCAACGAACCATGAACAACGAGGCTTCCATTAAGCGCCTCGAGACGCAAGTGGGACAGTTAGCCACACGGGTCGGGACCATCGAGACTGAACTAAATAAAGGGAAGCTACCAAGCCAGCCGGAGCATGCAAATGCAGTAACCGTGATTATGCCCGAAGAGGTGAAAGAAGAAAAAGAGGGCCCAAATGAGCGAGGGAGGACAGAAGAAGCTCCAGTGACACCACCACCCGAGCCTACATTACACAGATCCCCGAACCCTTACCGACCGAAGATTCCTTTCCCGAGCCGACTATGGGAGGAGAAGGACCGCACTATGATTCGGGACCTTCATGCGATGTTGGCCAAGGCCAATGTCGACTTATCTCCTCCCGATGTGTTGAAAAAAGTTCCGGCTTATGCACGATTCTTCAAGCAAGTGGCCACGAACAAGAAGAGGTTTGAGAATGGTGAGGAGGTGATTATCTGTGAGGCGGCGAGTGTCTTCCAGCATGACTTGCCGAAGAAAGAAAAGGATCCCGGAGGCTTTGTGATCACTATGGCCTTCGGGAATGGGGAAGAGACATCGGATTGCTTGATCTTGGAGCAGGCATTAACCTCATGCCACTTGCAGTTTACCACCGACTCGGGCTAGAAAAGTTGAAGCCCACCGGCATGCGCCTACAGCTGGCTGATCGCTCATACCGTCGACCAGAAGGGATCGTGGAGGATGTGCTTGTTCGAATAGGAAAGTTGATAGTCCCCGTGGACTTCGTAGTGCTCGATGTGGGGAACGTGGAAAAAAAAGGGAAACAACACGCCATCCTCCTCGGGCGACCTTTCATGGCGACCACTGGAACTGTTATTGATGTGAGGAAGGGGACGGCGACCATGGCAGTGTTAGGCGAGTCCATCTCCATCTTCGCTCGAGAGGCCAGCATAAGCCGCAGGCGAATGTTGTGGAAGACTGCGCTTACCTTAGGGCGATTGAGCAGCTCACTGAGAAAGCGTGCATGCGAGAGCACGCTAAGATGTCATTGCAGGACCGTGTCCAGAGGGGGTACCGTTCTGATCGCCCCATTACCCCTCCCCAGCTGAGTTCAAAAAAGTTGCCCCGATTACAATGGGGTGAGCGATTTGATATGACAGAGGCCCACCGCTGTTCGGGGCCTGACTACCTCCAACCTCCACCTGCACCACCGGATTCACAGTGACTCGTCTAGTCACTGTGTCTTGTATGTTTGTACTTTTCCCTTCTCTTTATCTTTGTCTTTGTTTTAGTTTTCCTGTCTTTTATGTTGGTTGATTATATGGGTAAACTTTCCTTGCACTGATGATCGACAATGGGGACATTGTTCGGTTTTAAGTGTGGGGGAGTTTTTACATGATCATGTGGCTTATGTGGTTGACCAGGTCTAGTTCTTTTAGGTTGGTTTCATTTTCTGTTTTTATTTTAGTGTCCTATCTTGAGTCAGCTGTGTGTTTTTGAGTATGGATTATGGTGAATTTTGAGATTTGTTGATGATTATTGATGACGTTGAGGAGATGTGATGATGATCATGACCAGTATGCTTTGATGAACTTGATGTGTCGTTTTGTTGGACACTTATTTACCTTATGTGAGATTTGAGCCTTATGTTGTTTCTTGAGAGTCATTGGTCAAAATTTGTGTTGATCAGAACTTACTTTGAGTCTGTTTTGAAATGAAGTGATTAAAGTTGTGATTTGTGAAAACTATTGAGGCATTTCTTTGACATTGCTCGTTTTAGCCTTTTCATTGACCTTGAACATATATTTTCATTAGTAGCCCGTTGAGCCTTGAACCTTGTTTCTTGTCAACCGAATCGATTGAATTTCTTGAGATTTGATAGTGCAATTGTTATGATGACGGGTTTCTACTATGTGTTTGGAGAAGGTTTATAACTTGCTTGAGTTGCATTTTGAGTGCCTGCAAAAAAAAATTAATAATAAAAAAAAACAAACAAAAGAAAAAAAGGAGACTCGCAAGACGGACTAAAGGATTCTACTCCGCTTACTTGTCGAAATTCTTTGACGAGTAATGAGTATTGGGAAACCATTCTAGGAAACTTGGATGACCTCCAATGTTTAAACCTAGAGAATGTCGTCTTGATGTCTTAGTCTTGTTAGGAAAAAGCAAACTCCTTGAGTCATGAAAAAAAAAAAAAAAAAAAAACCAAGTACTTAATTTGCATTTCAGCTTGAGCATGTGTGAGTAGTGTATGGAGTTTTTGGTGGGAATGATTAGTTTCTTGTTGATTACGGATAGGTGGTGGGATATTCGAGTATTTATGTGCTCAAGAGTGTGACTGTTTATTTGAGCCACTTTATCTTCTTATTTGTCCTTCCTTTGATACCTACATTACAACCCAGAAGTCCTCTTGATTTGCACTTCATGATTTTTGATTGTTTTAGAGTATGAATAGACGATAAGCAAGCTTATGTTGATGCATGATGATCGACCAATTTGAGCGTATCCACTTCATATTTATGAAAGAAGCAGAGTGAGGCATATATATGTTCGATATTATCATGCTTGAGCGTCTGTGTTCTCAAAATGTTGCATTCGAGTGTAATTGAGGTGTGCTATATTGGTCATTGGAAGTCTCCTCGGCTAAGTTGATTAATTTGATGCTTGTCTTATTTGAAGCTGTTATCCATGCTCATTTGCTTGCTTTCGTGTCTTTTCTTTTCTTTTTGTTTGGGACGAACAAAGGTCTTAGTGTGGGGGAGTTGTTTGTCTCATTTTTGTTGCGTTTTTCGTGTTTATTTTATCTTTCTTTTTCCCCATTTTAGGTCGTTTCTTTAGTTTTTAGTCCGTTTCATGTTTTATTATGTGTTTTCCTTCATCTTGAGTCCTTAGGTGTTTTTCGTTTGTTTTTCCGGTTTTCTTTTGTGTTTTGTCGTTTTTTGTGTGTAGGTCAGGAGCTTTGGACGAATTTTCTCTTCAGGAAAAGTTGGTTTTGAGAGCATAACTGGATAGATGGGTTCGTTGGTGACGCATGGAAAAAAACGGAACTCAATTCCGAGTTCGGACGAGCCCAAACGAGCTCGAAACGTAAAGCAGCACGCAGCTGCCCAGTTTCCTTCACCGTGGCCGCGGAGAGGAGAAGTCGCGGCCGCGAGGGTCCCAAAACATCCCAAAACTGGCCAGATGAGCTCGCGGCCTCAGAGATGGTCGCGGCCGCGGGATTTCTTCACCGCGGCCGCAGAGGAAGAAGTCGCGGCCGCGGGAGTCGCGACAAGCAGATTTTTATTTTGGATTTTTGATCAGTTTTTGGGGATGTTCTTTCTAGGTTTTATCATTCTCTCGTACTTTTTCACCCCAGAACTCACTTTCCTCTTATCTTTCACTTGGAATTGATCTTGGAATGTGAAAACACCAAGAGTAAGCTTTAGGATTTTGATTGTTCATTGCTTTTCGACATTGGATTCATATTTAATCGTAAGCTTTCTTTCTTTGTTTTATCTATGATTATGATGGCTTGGATTGATGTGTATGTTGATGTTGAATCTATGATGAGTAGCTAAATCCGTAAGCTAGGGATAGAGGATTAATGTTTTGGATTCGTATGTGATTGTTGGGATTCATTGATCGTTCAATTTGTGCGAGTTGTTCTTAAATAGGGTTTCAATTATCATACTTGAAAGTTGAGAATTGTTGAAGGGTGAAACTTCAATTTCCAATTGATTTCGATTGAATTTGATTCGTTCTTCCATGATGTTGTTAATGCTAAACGGACTAGTTGGTTAAACACCTTCTAGTTCAATTCAATCGACTTTTAGAACCGAAAGGGGAGGAGTCGATAGAAATAGGCTCGTATAAACTAGGCTTGTTCGTAACGGTATTGCCTAGGTATTAAATGACCCGTTACTTAGCCGTTCACGTCTGTCCTATTGTTACGAAGAGTTATTGAGGATAAATCTCTGAACGAGTGAATTATTCGAATCATTTAACCGAACGATCACTGGCCCGATAGTTGCAATTCGAGCCAAAACGGATATCCCCGACTCCCTAGCTTCTTTAATATTGCTTGTTCATCGTCTTTGCTTTGCTATTTCTATTTTCTTAATTTGAAGTTTTACGTAGTTGATAATCAAACCAAATCATCTGAATTAGAATGTTTAGGAATTTTATCTCTTTTATCTGTGCTTGAATAAACGTGCTAAGTATTCCGGCTAACCTTCCTCGTGAGACACGACCCGGTGTTCGAATCTTGTGATTCTACTCCGGTAAAAATTATTACAACAACGGACAATCGGAGGAGATGGTGGATGGAGCTGTTGGTTGTTACGGGATGTGGTCCCGGTGGGTTTAGGGACAACGGAGAAGCAATTTGTGATGGAGGCGGGGGCTATGGGCGGAGGAGCTGCCGGGGCAGATTGCAGATAGGGCAGAGGAGTCGGTTGGGATGGTTTGTGGTTCTGGCGATTCATTGACGGCGGCAACGAAACCGGCAGCGGCTCTCTTCTAAGATGTCGGGCGATGGCGAATGGCGTGCTGGTGACTAGCGACGGGTGGTGGTCCGGCGGCGGCGCAAACGTGGTGTGTGCGTGTGTGTGTGTGTGTTTGGAGATCTGAAACAATCGTGAAGGAGAGGGTAATGAAAAAAAAATAAATATTTAATTTGTGAGTGGGTCCCACATAATAAATGTGTATTGATCAACTTACCCTTAATTATGGGTCAAATGCACATATTTGACCACACTATGATCAAATATTTACCAGATTGCCATTAATGATTGACCATAGTTTGACTTCATCGTAACCATTGATATGTTGGATCCAATGGTCCACAATCATTATCATTTCTTTCACTATCTATCATTATCATATGATCCCTTATATATATATATATATGTATGATCCCTTATATATATATATATGTATATATATATATATATGTGTGTGTGTGTGTGTGTGTGTGTGTGTGTGAATCGGTTCCAATGAGTCCAGATATTTAAAATGATGATGTGAGACCACATCCTAGTCATTAAATAGGGATCAAGATGTGTTGTCAAGATTTAATATTTTATTTGTTTATTTTAGTTATTTAAATGTTATTCTGACTATTGACTATTGACCATCCACTATCGACTCCGGCATTGACCGTTGACCATTGAATGTAGTAAGCATTATGTATGAAGTAAATATGCATTCAGCAGTATGCGATTGATATGAACTTAACATGCATTTGATATGAATTGAATATACAGTCATTATGAACTAAATATGCACTCATAATATAAACTAAGTATGTAGTGTTTATGTACTAAATACTCACTACATATGAACAAAATGAGCGAATGGCATGAACTAAATATGCAACGAGAATATGCAATTAAATATGTATTTTATATAATTAATTTAAATATAATAATTATTATCTTTTATTATATAATTAATGTAAATTTTAATTGATTGAATGAGTCACTGATCTACACAAATAAATAGTTATGATTGGACCTCACATGAACTAAATATGCACTTGATGATTTAAATATGCATTTCGTATGAACTAAATGTTGGGTTCTATTAGGAACGACAACAACATGCACGTTTGAATTTTGGAAAAATAAACCCTAACGCAGTGGAATCTATAGTTAGGGTTAGGTCATTACCGTTTAAAATTTTTGCCAACTCCGACACGTTTTTGATTTCCTTTGATGGAGATCGTCTCATTACCAAATCCCGATGGGTTGACGAGTTTGGCCTTTCTCGATTCTGATCGAGTCACTGAATCGCGAACGGATCACCAGATCGGGCTCGTCGGGCTCGGGCCAGTCAAATCTGGTTCGGTTCGTCGGGTTGACTCAGTCGGACTCGGCTGGACTGACTCGGGCTCGGCTCGGTTCAGCTGGTCACGTCTCGGTCGGGACAGGTTCGCAGACAGGCGCTGGCAGGCAGTGCAGGTCGCGTCTGGCGCTGGACGGGACGCGCGGGTGCTGGGGCGGACACGGAAAGGCGCTGGGATCTCGGGCACGTGCGGTCATGCGTTGCGGGTCTCCTACCCCGGGTAGGACTGGGCGTGCGTGCGTCTGGGCTCACGCGGGCATGCACCGCACGATACCTATGCGTGCGCGGACTCGCGCAGGGACATAGGCGTGAAGAACACGGACGGAGGCGATACGCACGGGCAGGGACGACATGTGGCGTCACGTGGCGTCGCTGCTGGGAGCTGGAACCGGCGTCGGGCGGCACGCGATTGGGCGTGGGACTCACACGACTGTGTGCAGTGGGCGCGGGTGCCTTCCGGCGGTGGCTCACGGCGGCGGCGATTTTCGGTGGTGGTTGACGGCAGCGGCTGACCGGAAAAGAGGAGATCTTCAAGGCTTGATCTATCTAACCTTAAGATCTTCTAATGTATGATCTACACCTACTCCGAAAATTTTTGGTAGGCGATTTTCCAGATCTCTCGAACTCTCAATATCTAGAACACAAAAAACTCCTTTTTCCCTTAGGAAACCTTAGTCTAGGTGTGTGAAATAGAGTAGGGAGAGAGTTCAAGACATGGTGTATTTATAGACTATATTAGGGACCTTAAAGAGGTACTAAATATAGGGCTTATCCCATTAGGCCAAGGAATCCTAATTCTATTCCATATGCTTTTCCAATCTAGGATAGAATTCCTCCTAACCCTCGTTACTTTCTAGAAGACTCTTTGTTTCCTAACCCTAGGTAATATTTTAGAAGGAATATTGCTATCCTTATGGAATAAAATTAATTCCTTAATGTAAATAGAATTAAATAATAAAACATTTTCACTAGAGTAATATTATTGCTCTCCCCATTTAACTCCAATTTATTCAATAAATCCAAACTCCAAATGATTAGTTAATATTAATATAATTGACCGGTTTACCTTCCCATGTTTAAGGTATAACATCTGCCAATTAATTTAATTACTGACAATTAAATTAAATTGACTTTTTCATTTCCGAAATTAGTACCACTCAGTTCATTACTCATCCTGCAGGGTTTGACATAATATTCCTTCCTGAGCTCATTTCGGGGACGTCATCAACCCAGCGCACTGGGACATAGTGACTGCAAATAATTTATAATGGCACATCATATAAACACTCTTATTTACCAAAATATCAAGTATGCCATCCTAACAGAATAGGAATCACCCTTACTAAATCAAATAAATAAGTAATGAATATATATGCTCATTTTATATTATCTTACAGCTTAAGAGAACGCATCAATCACTAAAGGTTTAGATAATAACAATCAGTAAATCTTATAATCTTGTACTTCCGCGGTCCGTTCAATACATCATAAGTACTAGTGTAACCCAACAGTGAAATATCAACTGAATCAAAACTACACTACAGTCTTTTTCTAGCTGGGGTCTCACTGCCTGTCTAAACTATGAACATTATATTTATATTTTACAAGGAACCGATAATATGATTTTTTTGTTCGACACGACTAACCATATTATCTACAATGTAAAATAATGGAGTTATGATTGCATAAATAAATAAACTGCAAACATAAATACTTTGACTAAAACACGATTGCCAGATCAAAATGGTATTGTTCATATCTGAAAGTCAAGCTTTTACAACATATCTAACACTAAACATGTATAATGAATGAACTAAATATGCATTATGTATATAATTAATTTAAATATAATAAATATGCACTATAATAAACTAAATATGTGTTTTGTATGAACTAAATGTGCAACATTAATATTAACTAATTTTGCATTGTTTATGAACTAAATATGCACTTCATATGAACTGAAAGTGCATTTCGTATTAGATATATATACTAACTATGCATTTTTTTATGAACCAAATATGCATTGTGTATGAAGTAAATTTGTACTCAAATATTTAGTTTATGTTAACTAAATATGTATTTTGTATGAACTAAATATGTATGTTGTATGAACTAAATATACAACAAAAATATTAATTAATTATGCATTGTTTATGAACTAAATATGCACTTTGTATGAACTAAATGTGAAGTCAAAATATGCAATTGACAACAATTTCTTAGACTAATATTATCAATGAAGTATGCATTATGTATGAAACTAAATATGCATTTCATATTACATAAATATGCCAAGAAATGAACTAAATAAGCACTAATTAAATAATAAAAAAAACCAAGGGCCATATTGCAGTTTTTTAAACTTTAGATAAATTAAAGATTGACTCCAAGGATCAAATTGCAATAAATAATAAGTTTTTTGAATTTGCAATCAAGAACCCAGATTTTGTCTAATTCTCAAACACAAGTCGACTCCCTAAATCCCCATGATATAACCATGTATATGGACTGGAAATTTTCTAATTACGTGGAGCTCGACTGGAGTGGAGAACGAGCTGTCAAAAGATCGCCAAGCTAGGGCAACTGGATGACCTCACCCTCCGACGACCTATAGGTTAACGATAGTAGGATATGAAGGCGACCTAATCCCTAGATGACCTAAGAGCCCCTATATGAAATTGTCAAACAACCTAAGCAACCAAGGACCTTACAAAAAACTCGACCTCGACTATCGGGAAGTATGATAGACGACCTAAAGTAGTAGAAGACTAGGATAAGATTGAACCTAAAGGTGACTCAGAGGTGATTAGGATATGGATAAGCACTAAGCTCGGGTAGCTGGGCAGGCTGTCTGTGGGTAGTCGGGCAGAGCATTTCGGGCAGGTATTTCCCTATAAAAGGGATTGAGGTATCACTATACCCTTTCTTTACATTCTCCATATACGATATACTGCTCTAAGATTACAAAGCTTCACCGTCTTCTTCTTTTTGCTGACTTAAGCATCTGAAACTCTACGCCGGAATCTCCTCCGGCATTGAGTTCTTGCAAGTCTACACCCGGCGGTTCAGGCAAATCGATGATCTTCTCAACAAGTTCTACCTAGACCCAGATAGTGACCCATCATTTGGCCCGTCTTTGGGGAGCTTTTGAAGGAATTAAGAGCTTCGCACCAGATTCTTCTTGACCGGGGTTTTTGGTAATTGCGAGATGGATGGTTGGATCTGAGTCATAAGGTGCGAGAATCCTTTGATGAACTCCGGGTTTTTTAATAAGTTCGTGAAGTCGGTTGTCGGGAAATCTCATCGGGTTCCTTCTTCTTCGGAGGTTTCGCGTCCTTCCTTGTGGCTGGATGATGACATGGTTGTTTGTTTTTGGGATTAAGCCACTCCTCTAGCGCCAATTGTTGATGTACGAAAATGTCAACAAAAAAAGAAATGAAATGTACTCTACTTGGAGTACTTAGTTCAACAGGATCGAACAAAGATGTTCTATGACTTTGGATCAGATGGAAAATCTGGTCGTAATTTCCGTGTTTATATCATTAGTGAGAAGTGTTTATATCACTAATGAGAAGAGTATTCTCTTACATTAAATGCTGCCTCTCTTTCCTTTTATAAGGAATCTGAGGTCTTGTTGCAATCCTTCTTTGGAATTTTTATTTACATTTTTATTTTAGAGATATTCCTAAGATATTATGCCACATCAGCATTAAATGCTTAGCATTATATCAACTTAATCCCGATACATATAGAACTCTAGCCCACGACAAGTGTCCTAATTGGTTTTGCACCATAGGATTTCGAATTCCCATGTCCCATCATCATCAATGCATATCGTATGGATAATACAATTAAATGATTCATATAGTCGAGCATTCGTCCCTGTTCGTTCGTCCGGACTAACCATGGTACTTTGCATTCGCCTCGCCTGTTCGAACATTTCCCTCTCTCTTATCATCAGTGAGTTCGAACTTAAACGAATTGCCTCCGATTCGGTACGGATTCCAGCAGTTCGGTTGACACCCCGTACAGTTCCTATGGATGTGTGCCATCGATTATTGGGCTGTGCGTGGCAATTTGATCGTTCAGTTGTACATGACGGCCATCAGAGCAAATACATCTTTCTTTTTAAGGGTGTTCGGATCGTCCTCCATCCATCTCCTCCTTTATCACTGTCTGCGCCGGTGGCATCTCTGGTGTTATTCCTTTCCCGAGCGTCATTTGTCATCGAAATGCGGGAGGCTCCTGGATGATGAAGACAAATTCGATTGATTCTTTTAGTGTAGTTATTTATTTCTATCATTATTATATTATTAGCTTTATTTGCATTATTTAGATGATAGGTGAATATTTATTTATTTTTCTTTATTTTTGTCTTGGTAAGCAAGTTAATAAGTAATCTAGGGTTTGGTAGTGTTTTTATTTAAGAAGACTTTTCTTCTGTTGGGTAGGCCGATCAAATTGAGGATTTTCTCTTGATTTTTTGATTGGATTCATATATAATCAAACCTAGATCAAAAAGATATATTAAAAAATGAAGACTGCCGAGATCGCAACACGTGGGGTATCTTGTTGCTAGAGTTCACGTGAAGGGGACGGTGAGATATGAGTTCGCGTGAAGCATAGATGCGTGGCCATGTGTCCAGTTTTTTGGAAGCTTAAAAAACTACGTAGTGTGGCGATAGCAAATTGAGACTTGGGAGGTACGAGTGATGGATGATAAAGGCGTGGCCATGTGTAAAGTTTTGGTCGGTTGGCGTTCTGCTTTCTATGGCTGATTTCTAGTCCACGAAAAGAGGGTTTGAACTTTGAAGGTTAAATTTCCTGATGGGAAAATTGAATGCCACACAAGTGGTTCCATTTCACATGGGTGAAGTTCAAATGAATCATTTGTTGAATTTACTTGTCGTTTACTCTGATGGGATGAAGAATTATCAATTAATTTGCAATCAGTTTAATACTATGTGGACAAGATTTTTCCTTACGGGGATGGCAAATGAAATGGCAAATGCTACTTTTTTCTCCATACTTACGTCACGATAAATAATTATAAATTAAGAAATAAATAAATATTAATTAGTATAAAAATAGTTTTTAATTACTAGATTAACTTTTTTTATATGATATAATAGTTTAATATATGATTTATATATTTATATCGTTCGTTATAAAATATATGTTGATGTTGAATTCAAATTAGCTAGACAAACCGATCTGAGTGGTTAACTTGGGCCGATCTGGAGGAACTCCATCTCACTAAAAAGAAAATAATTACTCAATTGAGGAGCTCGCAAACGTAACTCAAAGTACTAGCAGCCTAATAAGATGATCTGGAGGTCGTGACCTCTAGGAGCTCGCGTATGAAGAGTGACCTTGAGGTGTCGAAGTCGCAAGTCCGGAGGTTAAGAGTTGGTAGTTAAATGGACTTCACCCGGGCTACTTCAACTCGGAAGACCTTCGTACTTGCAAGAACCCAACGCCAGGGGAGTCCCGGCG